GGCAAGCGCTCTGGAAAGCCCTTCTCGGAGCCTGAGTCCGGAGCTTCCGCGTCGTGGACGCTCCAGGACCCACGCGCCCTCTTGCAGAGGCCTCGGTCAAGACGTCGGCCCTTGCAGGTGCACCTGTACGGACCTGCCGGGGCCGGCAGGGCAGGCGCCCGCGTGGCTGCCTTGCTGCAGGCTGTGGGGCTGCTCTGGTGGTCCCGGGGGACCTTGTTCCCTGGATCCAGGTTTGCCACCCCTCCCCAAGTCGAAACGAGCAGGCTTGGAGTGCGGGTGGCCTGGGGTTCACCTCAGAGCCCCTGCTTCCTCTCTCAAATTTCACACCCGCGCCGGAACCACACAGCAGTGAGGCCAGGCCAATTAGGGAGAACGTTCCTCATTTTGCTGCACTTTTCCTGTGTAATTGGAAGTCCCACTTTTTCCAGCAAGAAGTCAGCGAGAGCTGTTCCCCCGAATAGTTCTGAACGCGTTGGACCACATACCGCTAGGAGCTGCGTGTCTGTGGGCGAGATGATAATGATCGCTCAGTGATGCGCTGTTCAGACCAAAGGTCTTTCTCAGCGCCGAGCCGAGACGGAGCCCCAGCCTCCTTCCAGCTTCGAGGGGAGCTCGGAGCGGCATTACCAGCCCGCGTACCGGGAGAGGCAACCCGGGCGCTCACGGCTACTCCTCCCTCCAAATCAAGAAAAAAGACCGGGGTGTGGATTTGGCCAAAGTCGAGGAAATGTTGGGGGGGCTTCCGGAGCTGAGAGGGAGGCCGCGTGCCGGCTTCCCGGTGCCGTGCACGTCCGCGGCCTCGCTCCGTCTCGGGCTGCCGCTAACAAGGACTTGAGGGAGCAAAAGGCTGCTAAGTATTTTCTTGTGTGCTTCATTAGTTCTGGAAACCAGGGTTCTGTGGCCGACTCTCCCGGATAATTCAATAAATTAACGAAAACCTGCCTGATTCTTTCCAGCGTTCTTTATGGCGAGTAAATTTGTTTAGCTTTTTGTTTTTTTTTTTTTTTTTTTTTTTTTTTTTTTTTTTTAACTGTCAGTGGAAGCTGTAGGGACCTAAATGTTTTAATACTGAAGAAATGTGGGCATTTTGTTTGGCTCTGTTCTTGACGAATGATGTCTGTCTCCGTCCCTCCCCGCGCGTTCTGTCAGCCGGGGGCTCTGGGACGCCCTGAGTCTGCGCTTACCCACACGGCAGTGAGGTCTCGTAGTGACCGAGAGGGAGGGCGGTGAGGTCTCGTAGTGACCGAGAGGGAGGGCGGTGAGGTCTCGTAGTGACCGAGAGGGGGGGCGGTGAGGTCTCATAGTGACCGAGAGGGAGGGCGGTGAGGTCTCGTAGTGACCGAGAGGGGGGGTGGTGAGGTCTCGTAGTGACCGAGAGGGAGGGCGGTGAGGTCTCGTAGTGACCGAGAGGGAGGGCGGTGAGGTCTCGTAGTGACCGAGAGGGGGGGTGGTGAGGTCTCATAGTGACCGAGGGGGGGGCGGTGAGATCTCGTAGTGACCGAGAGGGAGGGGCTCCAGCAAGGCGGGGCTCCCTCTCGGAGCCAACGCCAGAAACCGCAGGTGCAACTTGGGCTCCTCCGACCGTCTGCACTGCAGAACGGAGACTGGAGCAACTTCCGGCTTCATCGCAAGCACACCTCACCAAGTGTCGGATCAGGCCGGAAGCATTAAATTGCACGCGCACGCGCGTGCGTGTGTGCGTGTGTGTCTGTGTAACTACCCTCGCAGTTCTTGCCTTCAGAGATTGTGTGCTGCAGACACTGCTGGCAGCGTAAGGGAGCTGACGCGCTCCTCTGAAAACGTCAGCCCTCCCTTGATTAACTCACGATGTGATGCCAGTCCGAAGTTTGGGTAGCATTTCTGTTTTGGAACTTGACAAAATGCTTCTTGCCTGGAAGGATAGATTCTGAAAACAAAAGGAGGCACAGTGCCTCCTCCAGGGTGTCACAATGAACCATAAAGCAATAAGAGTTTAAACAGTCAAATAAAACTAATTCAACAGCCTGTGTGAAGAATGAGGCCAGAGCCGATGTCACAGCCACGTCAAAGCTCTGACAGCAGGGGCGTGGCAGGAAGAGGCGGGGCTGCTTCCCAGATAAGGTTGGGGCAGTTGGTGAGCCGTCAGGAGCGTCCGGTGGCTCCCACAGCGCCGTGTGGTTTTACGCACCCATTAGGTGTAGGACGTGAAAATGGGTTGGAGTTGTGGCACAGCGGGTGAAGGCGCCACTCGGGAGGCCTGCACCCCCCGTGAGAGTGCCCGGTTCAAGTCCCGGCTCCTCTGTACCTCCAGTCCAGATTCCTGCCCCTGAGTCTGGGAGGCAGCAGACGATGGCCCGAGGAAGTGAGTGCCTGCCTCCCTGGCTTCAGGCTGGCCCAGCCCTGGGTGTTGTGTGCATTTAGGGAGTGGACCAGCAGATGGAGGATTCTCTCTCTCTCTCTCTTTCTTCTCTTCAAATAGTCTTTTTTTTTTTAAAGTAAAAATTTCAAACTACACAGTGAATGTTTGTCAGCTTCTGTGGTGGGAAAGGCTTTTTGGTGCATCCATGCAGCACCAGAACCCCAAGAGGAAAGTGGTGACAGACATGAACCAGAACCGGTGTGTCAGAAACGCTACCAGACCCCAATTAGAGGGCCACACACAGCCATCAGAAAACACGGTGCCACTGTCGACCTCAAGGGGTCTCGTGGTAGTGTTGCCACAGTTGCCTGTTCGTATTCTTAGTATGTAAAGAGTTGCTGTGATAGCCGGCGCCGCGGCTCACTAGGCTAATCCTCCGCCTAGCGGCGCCGGCACACCGGGTTCTAGTCCCGGTCGGGGCGCCGGATTCTGTCCCGGTTGCCCCTCTTCCAGGCCAGCCCTCTGCTGTGGCCCGGGAGTGCAGTGGAGGATGGCCCAGGTGCTTGGGCCCTGCACCCCATGGGAGACCAGGAGAAGTACCTGGCTCCTGGCTCCTGCCATCGGATCAGCGCGGTGCGCCGGCCGCAGCGCACCGGCCACGGCGGCCATTGGAGGTTGAACCAACGGCAAAGGAAGACCTTTCTCTGTGTCTCTCTCTCTCACTGTCCACTCTGCCTGTCAAAAAAAAAAAAAAAAAAAAAAAAAAAAAAGAGTTGCTGTGACTAAGTAAAAGGATGAAGCTCCCAGGGGAAAGTGGCCAGACAGCAAGACCAGACCCTGAGGCACAGGAAGCGTTCAGAGAGCCAGTGAAGACGGGAGTGACCGAAGATACAAATTAGAGGGGAGATGGACAGCTACCTCCCCAAGGAGGTGCTCCACACGGAGCCATAAACTGGCCGGGCAGTTCTGGGGAGCTCACACGAGATGTGTTGAGAACCGGGAGAAGGCATCGGCTTCAGAGCTGCAGCTTAAGGATATCCAAAATGTACAGCATTTTTTTTCTAATGGGAAAAACTGAAATCAAACTAAATGAGCAACAGGACGGGGTTAACGTCCAGCAGGTCACTGCACACAACCCCGGGCAGCTGTGCAAACTCCCGGGAGAGCAGCGCCTTGTGGCTGTTCACGGAGCACTGTAGCTACGTGGAAGAACGGATGACGAAGGAGGACGTGCAGGGATCCTCCCGCCTCCCCTGCCCCCGGAACCCGTGTCTGTGCTGCCCAGAAGGAGGCCCAGCAGGGCGCTGACAGTGGGCCGCTGAGGACGGTGGGGCATCGGGAGCCTGACTCATCACCTCCGCTTCCTGGTGTCTTCGTGGGGCGTGCAGCGATCCTGTATTACTGTCATGTTTACAGAGTGAATAGTGGGGTGCGTGTTTGGTGCAGTGGTTGTACCCACTGCTTGGGTCACCCACACCCCACTGGGGTCCAGCTTCGCTCCCAGTTCTCACTTCTGGCTAATGCACTCCTGGGAGGCAGCAGGTAATGGCTCAAGTCCTTGGGCCCCTGCCACCCCCGTGGGGATCCAGATGGAGTTTCAGGCTCCTGGCTTCAGTCTGGCTGAGCCTCGCTGCTGTGGGCATTGGGGGAGTGAACCAGTGGGTGAGATCTCTCTCTCTCTCTCTCTCTCAAATTAAATAAATACTTTTTTTTAATATTGGAAGAGTTAATTGATAAAGCTAAACCAGTGCCCTGGCTGTGCTGAGAAGGGGCTTCAGCCCTGCTGTGGGTTGACTCCAGACCAGAAACCTGAGCCCAGGTCTAATGCGTCATCCAGCACTTGCTTGAAAACCGGGATTTGGTTTTGATCCTGGTGATTCCTTGTCCCAGGGATCCCAGATCTAAGAAACCGTCTTGAGGAAACAAAGCAACACGTGGAAGGAGCTGTACGCTGAAGATGCCCGTCATGCTGTTACTTACGGCAGTGACAATTTTTTAAAAAACATTTATTTTATTTATTTGAAAGACAGAGTTACAGAGAGAGAGAGAGAGAGAGAGAGAGAGAGAGTCTTCCATCCGCTAGTTCACTCCCCAAATGGCCACAATGGCCGGAGCTGTGCCGATCTGAAGCCAGGAGCCAGGAGCTTCTTCCAGGTCTCCCACGTGGTGCAGGGGCCCAAGGACTTGGGCCATCTTCCACTGCTTTCCCAGGCCACAGCAGAGAGCTGGATTGGAAGAGGGGCAGCCGAGACTAGAACCGGCACCGATATGGGATGCCAGTGCCTCATGCCAGGGCTTTAACCTGCTGCACCACAGCGCTGGCCCCCAGCAGTGACAGTTGTCAGCAGCCGTGGGACGTGGCTGAGTGGCACACTCACGTGGTGGGGCGTTACCTAGCCGTGGACCTGGGCAAAGACGCACGTGGCAGCCACAATGTTGGGTGGAGAAAATGCGGACATCAAATGTGTGCTGTGGTTCTCATTGTGAGCGTAAGATGGGGAGGGACGACACTGTCGTGAGGCGGTGGTTACAGAACGTCGGTGTGGAGGTCAGGAAACTCTTTTCCTGGCCGTGAGAGTCGCAGTCTTTCGGTACAGCTGTTGCATTCTTCTAAAGACAATTTCTGAGAGCCCAGCTGAGCGCCTCCCCCGTCCCCCACCAGGGCTGGGTCCTGGACGGCCTCCCGGAGTCGCGAGAGCAGGTGCTGATGATCCAGACGCTGGGCCTCGCCCCCAGACACGTCAGTGAGTGGCTCCCGGGGCCCCGAGGGCGGGCGGGGGCACCTGCTCCGAGCCCCCGGCTCCCTCCCAGAGGAGGGCTGCTGGGCCCAGGACCTGGCGAGGACAAGGGCAGCCCCGCCACGTCCCTCGCAAAGCTGGAAGTGTCAGCTTTTCCTCCAGACAGTGGGGTTTTGGTCGCGCCCCGGCGGTTCCTTGTCCCGAGCATCCGAGATGCTCCCTGGTGACGTGTGTCGCAAGTGTGGCGGTCTTCCCGGGGCTGTTCGGGACGGCGAAGGCCATCAGCCATGGGGACGCCCCGTGGCAGCCGTTCCCAGGCCTGGGACCCAGGGCGTGGGGAGTTCCCGGGGAGGGGGTGGCGGTTGTTGTGATGTCACCAGACAGCCCACCAGGTCTAGTCTGCTCTTTTTCCTCTCTGCCCAGTCGTGCTGAACGCGCCGGACATGGTCCTGATAGAGAGAAACCTGGGGAAGAGGATCGACCCTCAGACTGGAGGTACAGCCGTCTCCCACCCCTGCCCGCCCCAGGGGTTTCAGAGGGGGTGCTGATATGGCCCCTACCCCACCCCAGCCTCAACCCCCACCCCACTGATACTCAGACTGAAGGTACAGCCGTCTCCCACCTCCGCCCCACCCACCCTCAGACTGGAGGCACAGCTGTCTCCCACCCCTGCCCGCCCCAGGGGTTTCAGAGGGGGTGCTCATACGGTTCCCATGCCTCCCCCTGCCCCGTGCTCAGGCACACCCAGGCTCGCGTGCCGCAGGCTGGCTGTTGAGTGGAAGACACTGGAGGCGTCCATCAGTTTGAGCAGATGTGGCGGCGAGGGCCTGTTTCCACCACGGAGGGGCCTTGCTCCTGCAGAGCCAGGCTGGAGTGGGGGGTCACTCCCGGTGCCTGGGCTTTGCTGAGGCTGTGTCCTGGCTCGGGGCCGTGCACGCGGCCCCAGGGTGTGTCTCCACCTCCTTGAGGGAGACCGTGACCCGCATCCTTGGTCACGTGCGCAGAAGAGAGCCGGCACTTGGGAGTGAGAAGGCCGGGACGCGTGGCTGTGAGGACGCAGGGCGGCTGTGCAGGGCCGCGTGTCAGGAGCCTGCTGCCCGCAGCCCTTAGCTGAGGTCACTGCTGTCAGTGTTACTGTTGCTGCGTTCTGCAGTCGTGGGATTGTCACTGTGGTATTCTGCAGCAGCATGTTGTAGTCACCGCAACAGCAAGTCATTGCCACTGGTGCGCTGCTGTTACTACAGCGGTGTGCTGCTGTTACTACAGCGGTGTGCTGCTGTTACTATAGTAGTATGTTACCATTACTACAGCAGTGTGCTGCTGTTACTACAGCATGCTATTGTTACTACAGCAGTGTGCTGCTGTTACTATAGTAGTATGTTACTGTTACTACAGCGGTGTGCTGCTGTTACTATAGTAGTGTGCTACTGTTACTATAGTAGCATGTTACTGTTACTACAGCGGTGTGCTGCTGTTACTACAGCGGTGTGCTGCTGTTACTATAGTAGTGTGCTACTGTTACTACAGCGGTGTGCTACTGTTACTACAATAGTGTGCTACTGTTACTACAGCGGTGTGATGCTGTTACTACAGTAGTGTGCTGTTGTTACTACAGTAGTGTGCTACTGTTACTACAGTGGTGTGCTGCTGTTACTATAGTAGTATGTTACTGTTACTACAGCGGTGTGCTACTGTTACTACAGTGGTGTGCTGCTGTTACTACAGTAGTGTGCTGTTGTTACTACAGTAGTGTGCTACTGTTACTACAGTGGTGTGCTGCTGTTACTACAGTAGTGTGCTGTTGTTACTACAGTAGTGTGCTACTGTTACTACAGTGGTGTGCTGCTGTTACTATAGTAGTATGTTACTGTTACTACAGCGGTGTGCTACTGTTACTACAGTGGTGTGCTGCTGTTACTACAGTAGTGTGCTGTTGTTACTACAGTAGTGTGCTACTGTTACTACAGTGGTGTGCTGCTGTTACTATAGTAGTATGTTACTGTTACTACAGCGGTGTGCTGCTGTTACTACAGCGGTGTGCTGCTGTTACTACAGTAGTATGCTGTTGTTACTACAGCGGTGTGCTGCTGCTACTATAGTAGTGTGTTACTGTTACTACAGCGGTGTGCTGCTGTTACTGCAGTGATGTGCTGTTGTTACTACAGTAGTGTGCTGCTGTTACTATAGTAGTATGTTACTGTTACTACAGCAGTGTGCTGCTGTTACTATAGTAGTATGTTACTGTTACTACAGCAGTGTGCTGCTGTTACTACAGCAGTATGCTACTGTTACTACAGTGGTGTGCTGCTGTTACTGCAGTGGTGTGCTGTTGTTACTACAGCAGCGTGCTGCTGTTACTGCTGCGGTGTGCTGTTGTTACTACAGTAGTGTGCTGCTGTTACTACAGTGGTGTGCTATTGTTACTACAGTGGTGTGCTATTGTTACTGCAGCGGTGTGCTGCTGTTACTACAGCAGTGTGCTGTTGTTACTACAGCGGTGTGATGCTGTTACTACAGTAGAGTGCTGCTGTACTACAGTAGTGTGCTACTGTTACTACAGTGGTGTGCTGCTGTTACTACAGTAGTGTGCTGTTGTTACTACAGTAGTGTGCTACTGTTACTACAGTGGTGTGCTGCTGTTACTATAGTAGTATGTTACTGTTACTACAGCGGTGTGCTGCTGTTACTACAGCGGTGTGCTGTTGTTACTACAGTGGTGTGCTATCGTTACTACAGCGGTGTGCTATCGTTACTACAGTGGTGTGCTGTTGTTACTACAGTGGTGTGCTATTGTTACTACAGCGGTGTGCTATCGTTACTATAGTGATGTGCTGCTGTCACTACAGTGGTGTGCTGCTGCTACTACAGCGGTGTGCTATCGTTACTACAGCAATAGGGTAGTCAGAGCAGGCCCAGGATGGAAGCCCTGGCACTGCTGGTCCTAGCCCCCGCCGGGCGCCGTGTCTCCACGGCCGGCTGACTCTCACCGCGTGCCGCTCTCTGCAGAGATCTACCACACCACCTTCGACTGGCCCCCCGAACCCGAGACGCAGAACCGCCTGGTGATACCAGAGGGCATCTCGGAGCTGGAGACGGCTCGGAAGCTGCTGGAGTACCACAGGAACGTCATCCGGATCCTGCCCTCCTACCCCGGAATCCTGAAGGCCATCAGCGCCGACCAGCCGTGTGTGGACATCTTCTACCAGGGTGAGCCCCACGGTGCACGTCCACCCCTCCCCCCGCAGCTCTCGGTCTGGCGGTGGCGCAGGCCCAGGGTGCGCCGGGATCCCGGGCGCTGACTCATTCTCCACCCAGGAAGGAAGGCTGGCGGCATCCCGGAGAGGCATCCTGGGAGAGCCGGGATGTGGCCTCTCCTGCAGCCCACCCTGGCTTGAGGGGATGGGAGGAGGGCAGGCAGGGGGTGGGGTGGGAGGGCAGGCAGGGGATGGGGTGGGAGGAGGGGAGGCAGGGGATGGGGTGGGAGGAGGGGAGGCAGGGGGTGGGGTGGGAGGAGGGCAGGCAGGGCTGGGGTGGGAGGGACGCGTCCACAAGTTCAGGCTTGGCCTTGAGGGACAGGGAAGGAGAACACATAACGATGAAGACTGGGACGAAAGCAAGAAAGCAGCAGGCAGACCCTGCCCGACGTGGTGGACCCTGCAGAGCAGGGCCAGGCAGACCCAGCCCGGTGTCCACAGCCGCGGCTACAGCTCACAGCCGCTTGGCGGAAGTCGGCCGAAGCCGCTGTGCGAGGCGGGGGGGGGGGGGGGGGAGGGCATTGCACCGAGAACTGGAGCTGGGTGACCTGTGCTGAGCCCCAGCCCCGTCACACAGCAGCTGTGCGCCTGAGGCAGCTCCCTTAACCCCTCAGAGTCAGTGTTGCCATCCCTAAAATGGGAGCAAAGCTGTGCCTTCCTCCCCGTGTAGGCAGGGACTCAGCGAGACCCACCAGCCTGGTGTGGCTGCCATGGCTGCCGCGAGCCCGGAGCGGGTGCCCTGCCGGATGCCTGAGTGATTCCACCCCAGAGCGCTGCGCTTGCTAAGTCTGTGTAGACAACTTGCCGTGCAGGCTACTGAACCGGTCAGCCCGCCGCCGCCCTCGCAGCCGGCAGGGCCCTTTTCCCCATAGAAGAGCTTTGTTTTGTTGGGGCGGGGGCTCCCAGCTGCCCCCACCCCTCCCCGTAGAAGCCTGGTGGCCTGATCGGCCTTCTGCCGGCAGGCGGCACCGCCCGCACCCCCGCACCCAGGCGACCTCCCCGCTCCCGCGACTGCGTCTGGGAAGGGTTTTAGTAGCAAACCCTGCTCCCACGATCAACAACATTTATCTTCTGCCATGATTCTGAATTCACACATTAATTACTTCCAAATCACTTAATTAAATTTAAAAGTTCATATGATCGTTCATAAAGAATTCATGCCTGGAATTGTAAATAAAAATGTGAGTGTCTGAATATTAATTATTATTAATTAATAATGCAGAGAGATAAATTGAAAATTGGGATGCAAAATTCTCCCTGTGTTGTTTTTTTAATCTCTGTGCAGTGCATCCACCAAGCGCAGATTTCTAAAAAGAATAATTAGATGTTGACACTGCCTGGGGGATCATTACTTCTAATTAACTTGGTTATTTACTGTAAATTAAGCATCATTTGTAAGCAGGCTGCCTGCTTTCAGATGCGCTGGATCACGGAGGGTCCGAGACTGAAGGAGCTTTGCTGGGCCCCTCTTGCTTCCTCAGGGCCGCCCTCCCGGGCGCTGCTACCCAGGGCAGTGGGCGAGGGAGGCTGACCCGGCCCTGCCACGTCTCTGAGCCTCATGGACACATCTGGAAAATGGACAAGATTAGCGCACCTCTCACGGGATTGTTTTTTTCTTTTAAAGATTTATTTATTTATTATTTGAAAGGCAGAGTTACAGAGAGGCAGAGGCAGAGAGAGAGAGAGAGAGAGAGAGAGAGAGAGGTCTTCCATCTGCTGATTTACTCCCTAAACGGCCTCAACAGCCAGAGTTATGCCTGTCCAAAGCCGGGAGCCAGGAGCTTCCTCCAGGTCTCCCACGCGGGTGCAGGGGCCCAAGCACTGGGCATCTTCCACTGCTTTCCCGGGTCATCAGCAGGGAGCTGGATCAGAAGTGGAGCAGCTGGGACTCGAACCGGCACCCATATGGGATGCCGGCGCTGCAGGCGGTGGCCTCACCTTCTGTGCCATGGCGCCTGCCACGACGTAGACTGTTTCGCGTAGTAATCGATACGTGATGATGGTGATGGTGATGGTGGTATCACAGCTTGGCAAACCATTTTAACTTGCCTGTGCCTTTTAGTTCTATGAAAGAAGTTCCTATAGTGTCTCCAACAACCCTTCCAAGTAGATAATCCTACAGAGATTCCAGAGTTCAGACTGTCCACAAACTGGGACCTACCCCAGGGCCTCTAGGTTGGGAGCAAGTCTGCCCCCTCTCCCACCCAGCAGCACTTGGCAAAGTCTGCAGACAGTTTGTGCTTGTCACAACTTGGGGTCTGCCACTGGCAAACAGTGGGACAGCCAGGGGCTTCTCAACACCCTGCAAATCACGGGGCAGCCCCACAGCCAGGAGGCGCCTGGGCCCAAACACCGGTGTCGCCCGGGCTGAGGAACCATGCCACACCTGTGGAGCATTCTTGGCAGGAGGCTGTTGACTGGCCCCAGCCTGGGGCAGGATCCCTTGGAGGCCACTGGCAAGGCGGGTCAGCAGGAAGGGGCGGGCCACCTGTGGCCGGCACAGGCTGGTCCAGGGCCTTGGCAGGAGGTGAGGCCGGAGGAAGGGCATCCCGTTTGCAAGGCCCGGCTCCCTGGCCCCACGGGCAGGCGCCTCCCTGGCCCAGGTACCCACAGTGCCTTTCTCTGCACTCACTGGCCTGTTCTCGCAGCCTCTCTCTGAGCTCAGCTGGGAGGCAGCCCGGCTTGATGGTCAGCAGCTTCTCCCCGTGACTTCGTGGCATCCAGTTCCCCCCACGGGTGGGTCACCTGGCCGCTGGAGGTGGTCACCTGTGCCTCTCCAGTTCTTTGTTCACCCAATGCCACGGAGCCCCCGCAGGCCAGGGCCGCGCCGCGCCGTCTGCCCGCTCCTGTGGCCTGTTTGATCAGTGCCTCCTGTGAGACCCACAACGAGGAGTGCGGCTGCACACAGGGCTCTCCCCCGACTCCCTGCGCCGGACCCCTTGCGGCCTGGTGCAGCCATCAGAGCGGGTGCCCGACGTGAGGGCACTCCCGCACAAGCCCGCCTGCTCCCAGACCTGCTCCCAGCCTGCATCAGTTTGGAAACCTCGCAGACCCAACAGTGCCAGCTCCCAACCCTGGCCCACCCGGCCCGGCTACCTGGAGGGCAGTGTGCTGTGTCCTAGGACCCCTCTTGGATGTCCCTGCCCCTGCCCCTTCCCCTGTCCCTGTCCCTGCCCCTGTCCCTGCCCCTGTCCCTGCCTCTGCCCCTGCCCCTTCCCCTGTCCCTGTCCCTGCCCCTGCCCCTGCCCCATCCCTGGCCCCTGCCCCTGTCCCTGCCCCTGTCCCTGACCCTGCCCCTGTCCCTGCCCTGTCCCTGCCCCTGCCCCTGTCCCTGCCCTGACCCCTGCCCTGCCCTGACCCCTGATTCCCTCCCCTGCAGCTTTGCCCTTGGCTGCTTCTCAGGGGGTCTCCATGGTGCTGTCAGAGGCAAACAGTCCCCGCCCTGCGGGAGCAGGTGTTGGAAGCCACTTTCCCGTCCCTTAGGGCCTGGGTCTATGATCCTCCTATGCTCTCTTTCCAGCTCTGACCTATGTCCAAACCCACCATCGATCCAACGCCCCGTTCACCCCGAGAGTGCTGCTGTGCGGGCCCCTGGGCAGCGGGAAGAGCCTGCAGGCCGCCCTCCTGGCCCAGAAATACGGCCTTGTCAATGGTGAGTCCCCGCAAGCCGCCCTGCCTCCTCCCTCCCGCGGGGTGGGCCCAGGGCCCGGTGGGCAGGAGGGCTCCAGACCACCGCTGCTGCTTGCGCTCTGCTCTCAACAATTTGCAGTCAGTGCTTCCCCGCGGGCGTAGGATGCTCCCCTCCTGTAGGGGAAAGTTGCCATAAACACGTGAGCCGATGCAGACGCGGCGGCAGCCCAAGGAGCCGCGGTGCTTTCTCGACATCGTCGGGTTATAGCCGAGGAGCAGGGCTTTTTGTGTGCCGTCACCAGAGACACCTGATGCAGCCCGGGCCGCCCCCGGGAGCCCCAGCTCCTGCATGAAGCGGAGCCGCTGGTGGCTGCTCGTTCCCTCCGGTCTCGCTCGGCTCCCAGCCCCGGGTCCGTGTGTTTACAGGCAAGCGGTCTCTGAGCCAGAGGCCGGCTCCTCACTCCGCAGCTTCCATAAATATTTCACCAGCAGGAGAGGAAACATTGAGATCAGCTCGCCAGGTCCCGGGCAGACTCGGCTGCTGGCCTGCGTTCAGGAGGATCAAGCCCAGAAGGAGGAAGACACTGGGGCTGATCCACAGTGCGGGGCGGAGGGGTGCACAGCCTCTGCTCGTGTACCCGGCCCTGCAGGGCGAGTGAGTGTGTAAGCCCCCGGCCACACAGACAGCGACAGACAGACACGCGGGAGGTCACTCGGCGAAGCGTGTGCCCAGGGGGAGTCACCGTGTGAGTTTCTTTTGATGCAAAAACAGTGCTGAAGTCCACAAGCAGTTTTTTTTTCACTGTACACATCAGAGTAAACTCCCACCTGGATTTGTTTGTTTCTTTATTGGGCCAAAGCTGGGGGCTGGGGACTCCGGCCCGGTCTGTCGCCTGCTGCCTCCCAGGGTCCGCGTTAGCAAGAAGCTGACGTCGGAGGCCAGAGCCAGGGATTGAGGTCAGGGACCTGGGTGCTCGGCTGAATGCCTGCCCTCAGGCGTGCAATTCCAGCTGCCGCAGACGTGCAGGAATGACAACGTGTGTTACGGATTTCCAGAGTTTTTGCAACAAAATAAACCTCTTAATTCCATTTGCACAAACTTCTGGAGGCCCTTGTGCACACACAAACACAAATGTGGATGCACACGACCTCGGAAGGACCAAGTGTTGAACAAAATGCTTTTCAGTTAGATTTACACCAACTTCCTAAATCCCAGAGTCACTCAGACTGGCCCGGAATCAGCCGCAAGGTGAAGATAGAGACCGGACAGTTATGCTACAAATTGTACTAGCATGGAAAAAAAGTATGCACTTGAGGGTAGAAAATGCTTTCCCGTGCATGGATTAAAAACAGATTATTCAAAGAATTCCTTCTCCTGCTGATTTTACTTGTAAAGAATGAGGCGCGAGGCCGGCATTTTGATGTAGCAGGAAAAGCCGCTGTGACACCGGCATCCTATATGAGTGCCTGTTGTGAGTCTTGGCTGCCCCACTTCCTATCCCCTCCCCACTAAGGTGCCTGGGAAAGCAGCAGCAGATGACCCACGTCCGTGGGCCCCCACACCCCCACGGGAGACCCGGAAGAAGTTCCTGGCTCCTGGCTTCAGCCTGGCCCAGTGCTGGCCGCTGTGGCCATTTAGGGAGAGAACCAGCGGGTGGGAGTTATCTCTCCTTCTCTCCCTCTCTCTATAACTGACTTTCAAGTAAAGTAAACACATCTCTTAAAAAAGAAGAGGAAGGGGGGGAGGAGGAAGAGGTGGAGGAGGAAGAGGAGGAAGAAGGCTCAGTCTCAGTGGTTGAGGGTGACTTCGTGTGGCCGCTCCGCTGGGGGTGGCTCGAACTCCTGGTGCTACTTGGTGGGAGTCACCGCTCTGGGCGGGGCTTTGTTTATGCAGACACTTTCATTCAAGATGAGTTTTTTTAAATATATTATCTATTTATTTATTTATTTTATTTGACAGGTAGAGTTATAGACAGTGAGAGAGAGACAGACAGAGAGAAAGGTCTTCCCTCCTTTGGTTCACTCCCCAAATGGCCTCCAAGGCCGGTGCTGTCAGGTGCTTTTCCTGGTCTCCCATGGGGTGCAGGGCCCAAGCACCTGGGCCATCCTCCACTGCCCTCCCGGGCCACAGCAGAGAGCTGGCCTGGAAGAGGGGCAGCCAGGACCAGATCCCGGCACCCATGTGGGATGCCGGCGCTGCAGGCGGAGGATTAGCCAAGTGAGCCACGGCGCCAGCCCCCCTTTTTTAATATAATTTAAATGGTTTTCAGTGCACCAAATCGCGAGGAGAAGAAATTGCCTGCCTAGTTTTTTGTCCCCAAAATGAAACAGTGAGGTTCAGCATGGTTTTAGCTCTGTAGCAAAGCAGCCATTATGGGACTTTAGCTAGTGGGGCGTTAGGAGACTGACTCAGGAAATGCACAAAGCTGGCCTCGAAAAACGCACGGCAACTTGACAAGGAGTCAGCCGGTGCTGGGAAGAGGCAGGGCCGCGCCCCGAGGCTGGAGCGCAGGCACTGACCCCGAGCCCCTAAACCAGGGCGGCCGCCCCACATACACCCACCAAGTTCATCCCAGGACCACCATTGGAAATCAGCGGGCACGTCACGGGCACCTTCTGGAAGGTGACGGCCTGTCGCTCCCCCTCTTCGTGGAGGAGCGACACAGGACCCTGCGCTGTTCTTTCGTCTGCTCGGCCCTCCCCGGGTTTGCTGCTGGTTCTTCCCGGGTTGGCTACTATCCCTTCCACCTCCGTGGAAGGGCAGTTCCCCCTGGCCACATTCCCCACTTCCGCAGGGGAGCGGCACACCGCCGGCCGGCTCGTCTCGGGGGCTGCACAGGTGTTCCCTCAGCTAGATGTTCCCCATAGATGTTCCTGGTGCATGCCGTCTCTCTCCTCCTTTATAGTCCTCCTCCGCCAATCCTAACTCGGCTGCCCACACGCCGAGTACGCTGCTCTCCTCCAATCAGGAGCAAGTCCTACAGTTTATTGGTTGAACTGGAGGCAGCTGTGCGGAAGCTGTTTACTTCTCTCCCAGCGCCATATTGTGGGAGAGCAGATGCATAGAATAAGTCTTAATTCCAGTAACTCAGTCTAGTCCGGATTGCTCCCCACAGATCCCCCTTTCTTTTTATTTTTTTGGCGTTGATACGCGCCTGTCTTCGGTGTCCCGCGGCACACACTCTGCTCTACTTGCTAGAGTTGCCACAGGCTCTTACAAGTCCTATCAATCAGGCAAACCGAATCCGGGTCCTCTCTTCGCCATGTTGTGAGGAGGTTTTTAGGCGCTGATGCGTGCCTGTGTTCGGTGCCCTGCAGCGCATGCTCTACTCTGCTAGAACTGCCTGAAGGTGCTTACAAAACCTATCAGGCAAACCGAATCCAAGCCTTCTCATTGCCGTATTGTGGGGGAGACTTATTAGTGTTGGTTCGTGCCTATCTTCGGTGACCTGCAGCTCATGCTTTGGTCGAGCTGCTTGCTGGTGCTTACTGCCTTAAATCAGGCAGACCGAATCCAAGCCTCCTAATTGTTGCATTGTGGGGAAGCCTTACTGATGTTAATTCGTGCCTGTCTTCGGTGACCTGCGGCGCATAAGCTGCTAGCCGCCCAGGTGCTCATCGCCTCACTTAATCAGGCAGACCGAATCCAAGCTTTCTCATTGCCATGTTGAGGGGAGGCCTTTCTATTTCTCTATTTCTCTATCTCCGGGCATTCCTATTTCTCCCATTTTACTTCTATCTTCCAGCATTCCTATTTCTCTCACTTTACTTCTAAACTTCTGTTTCTCTTATCCCTGCAGCTTCCCGGCGCCTCGCCCTGCCGGCAGCTTCACGGCTCCGCGCAGCTTCCCAGCGCCTCGCCGGCTCTGAGCCGCTTCAGCCCGCGCCTCGGCTTTGCGCGGCTTGGCTTCGCGCGCTCCGCGGTCTCCACGCCCTTCGCGTCTGCACCACGGCCTCGCGCCAGCCCCGTTCCCTATCTACTTGTGCCCCGCACGCTCTGTCTGCGTGCGGCAGCCTCCGCGAGTCACACAGCGTAGCTTACGTGTCCGCCACTAGCATTCAATCTAAGTTCCCCGGGCTAGCCTGGCGAATTCAACCCAGCATACGTCTCCGCCCCACGATTTGGCTTCCCGTCCTTTGCTCCCCGGGCTAATCAGACGGATCCCAACCAGGCTCACGTTTCAGCTTCTGGTTTCAACTTTTCGCCCCCTATTCCCGGGCTAACTTGAGAATCCCAAAGTGGCTTCCGTTTCCGCCTTGGCCTGCCCCCCGCGGCTTCAATTTCCCTAACACTTTTCTCTACCCGGTATGTTTCCCCAAACTTTCCTCCAACGATATTCCTCCCTCATTTCTCCTGGCCTCTCCCCACAGTCCGCATCCGAGTTTGTTCTCGCTTTCACTTTCGCTTTCAATCCTAACTTCTTTCGCACAGTCCATATCCGAGTCTATGCCTAGGCTTTCTTTTTTTTTTTTTTTTTTTTTTGACAGGCAGAGTGGACAGTGAGAGAGACAGAGAGAGAAAGGTCTTCCTTTTGCCGCTGGTTCACCCTCCAATGGCCGCCGCTGCAGCCGGCGCACCGCGCTGATCCTGGCAGGAGCCAGGAGCCAGGTGCTTTTCCTGGTCTCCCATGGGGTGCAGGGCCCAAGCACCTGGGCCATCCTCCACTGCACTCCCTGGCCATAGCAGAGAGCTGGCCTGGAAGAGGGGCAACCGGGACAGAATCCGGCGCCCCAACCGGGACTAGAACCCGGTGTGCCGGCGCCGCAAGGTGGAGGATTAGCCTATTGAGCCACGGCGCCGGCTTGCCTAGGCTTTCAATAGCTTCTTCCGGCACCTAGGCTCTTTGCTAGTCTCTCTCTCCGGTATTTTCCCACTTCTTCCCGTTTCTTCCCTCCTAAGTTTGCTATCCGTCCTAGGTTTCCTATCCGAGTCACGGCACCATTATGTCGCTCCCCCTCTTTGTGGAGGAGCGACACAGGACCCTGCGCTGTTCTTTCGTCTGCTCGGCCCTCCCCGGGTTTGCTGCTGGTTCTTCCCGGGTTGGCTACTATCCCTTCCACCTCCGTGGAAGGGCAGTTCCCCCTGGCCACATTCCCCACTTCCGCAGGGGAGCGGCACACCGCCGGCCGGCTCGTCTCGGGGGCTGCACAGGTGTTCCCTCAGCTAGATGTTCCCCATAGATGTTCCTGGTGCATGCCGTCTCTCTCCTCCTTTATAGTCCTCCTCCGCCAATCCTAACTCGGCTGCCCACACGCCGAGTACGCTGCTCTCCTCCAATCAGGAGCAAGTCCTACAGTTTATTGGTTGAACTGGAGGCAGCTGTGCGGAAGCTGTTTACTTCTCTCCCAGCGCCATATTGTGGGAGAGCAGATGCATAGAACAAGTCTTAATTCCAGTAACTCAGTCTAGTCCGGATTGCTCCCCACAACGGCCGGCAGTGCAGGTGCACCCAGTGGCGTCCTTGCTTGGGTTGTACTCCACTCCCCTCAGCGAGCATGGATGCCGCGGGTGCGGCGTGAGCACTGGGGGCAGCCGCAGACCCTGCTGCCCGGCGCACTCCTCAGACAAGCTGTGGCAGTGCCGCTGCATGCAGAACCCGCGGCCTCCGACTAGAAGCCCGGGCAGCGCCCTGACAGCCGTGGTGCCTCGCTCAGAGCCGGAGGGGCAGAGAGTCGCGGGGCAGGGCTGGTCTCGTCTTGTTTGCTTTTTAAAGATGTGTTTTGAAGATTTTAAAGATTTGAAAGGAAGAGTTACACACACACACACAGAATTTTCCATCTTCTGGTTCACTCCCCAAAGGCCCACAATAGCCGAAGCCACGAGCCTGGAGCCCATCCAGGTCTCCCACGTGGGTGGCAGGGACCCGAACGTTTAAGCAGCACCTGCTGCGTGGGAAGCGTGGAGTAGCCCGCGTGGGGCTCAGCCCACTGCCCTCAGCGTCCACCCTGGCTGCTTGTGGTCTTTGGAATCGGATCACACAGACTCTAGGGATGTGGAGGTTTCCCAGGGTGCTTTGCGTTGTTATTTATTTCTAGTTTAATTCTTTCATGCTCAAGGAAGATGCATGCCCTCGTAATCTTGATCCTTTGAGATTTTTTTTGGTGCTTTCTTTTTTTACGGCCCAGAATATCGTTTCTCTTGGTGAATTCCATGTGCACTTGAGAAGAGTGTGTATTCTGGCCTTGGTGAGTACGGTGGACTATAGATAACAGGACAGGATGTTTGTGGCGGCCACATCTCCGTCCTTCATGGTTTCTCTCTGCTGTCTGTCTCAGTTGCTGGCAGAGGTGCGTTAGGGTCTCTGAGTGTGCATCTGTCCGTCTCCCTGCGTTCGTGTCACGTAACTGGTGAGGGGCGCACACACCAAGCGCCTTTACGTCCCCCCGATGAGATGATCCTGCGGTTTAGGAAACCAGCGGATGGGAATGGCCCGCTCCCTCCCCCGTTGGGGGCATCGTCTGATGTGCGTGCAGCCACGCTGGCTTTCTGGCGACTGCTCCCCTAGGGTCTGTCTTCCGCTCCGCCTGCATCTCACGTCCTGCACACGTGTCTTGCCGGCAGTGCAGCGTTAGGTCTTGCTGTTCCACTGAAGTGTTTAGCTCATCAGTCGCAAGGCTGCATCTTGCTTGTTGCCTGTTCGGGCCGTCTGTTCCTTGTCCCTCTTTTCCTGCCTTTTTTATTGACAGTTTTTTTTAACCAATCAAATATTGCTATTTATCTAATTTATTTCCTCTATTGTCTTTTGCTTCTTAAAGATTTATTCACTTATTCAAAAGTCAGAGTTCAGAGAAGGAGATCGACAGAGATCTCCCATCCGCTGGTTCACTCCGCAGATGGCCGCGACAGCCAGCGCTGGGCCAGGCGGAGACCAGGAGCCAGGAGTATCTTCCAGGTATCCTATGTGGGTGCAGGGCCCAAGCACTTGGGCCATCCTCCACTGCCCTCCTGGGCCACAGCAGAGAGCTGGACTAGAACCCGATGCCCATATGGGATGTTGGTGCCGCAGGCGGAGGATTAACCAAGTGAGCCACGGCGCCGGCCCCAATGCTCATTCCTTTTAACCATCATTTCCTTTAAAATTTTAAATAGATTTGTAATAATTGTCTTAAAGACCTGGTATGATGATTCCACTATCTTTGTCATCTCTCGATCTGATTCTGTGGCATATTTTTACTCTTTCTGGGGGGTCACTATTTTTTTAAAAAAGGATTTATTTTATTTATTTGAAGGCAGAGTTACAGAAAGAAAGGGAGAGTCAGAGAGATCCTCCATCGGCTGGTTCACTCCTCAAATGGTCTCAACGGCCAGGGCGGATCTAGTCCAAACCCAAGAGCTTCATTCAGATCTTCTGCGTGGGTGCAGGGACCAAGCACCTGGGCCATCTTCCACGGCTTTCCCAGGCCACAGCAGGGAGCTGGATGGGAAGTGGAGCAGCCGGGACTCAAACTGGTGCCCATATGGGATGCCGGCACTGCAGGTGGTGGCTTTACCTGCTATGCCACAGTGCCAGCCCCTAGAGGATCCCAATTTTCTGTGTTTTTTTGTTTGTTTGTTTGTTTGTTTTTATGTCATTTGTATGCTGAACACCTCGGTTAGCTTGTTGTTGAAGCCTGCATTGCTGGTTCTTTCCTGCTCTAAGAACTTTGAGAATTATGCTGCTTTGGACGCCTGTGTCCCGTTCCGGGCTGCCTGGGGTCCAGCTTCCTGCTAATGTGCCTGCAAGCAGCGGTGGCCCGAGTGCTTGGGTTCCTGCCACCCATGTAGGAGACCCAGATGCAGTTCAGGGCTCTTGGCTTCAGCCTGGCCCTGTTTGAGCTACTGTGGGTATTTGGAGAGTGAACCAGTGAACAAAGATCTCTCTCTCTCTCTTCCAAACAGACAGACAGACAGACAGACAGACAGACTTGGGCTCTAACAGGCAGTTTCCTGTTGCCCTGTGCTGTCTGCACAGAACGGCTTCCCAGGGTTCGTTCCTCTCCGTGCATTTCCAGGAGAGCAGGCCCGCCTGAGGCCTGGTGCTTCTGCGTGGCTGGCGGTGGAAGCCAGGCCTGGGTTTGACATCACACGGAGCTGGGGAGCCCAGCGCTGCCACTCAGCGGCCCTGCAGCCTGCAACAGGTCACTTCACTCCCTTGAGCCTCTGTTTCTTTATTAAAACAAACAAACCAACAGTTTGGGGCTGGCGCTGCGGCATACTGGGTCAAGCCGCCGCCAGCAGTGCCAGCATCCCACATGGGCACCGGTTCAAGACCCGGCTGCTCCTCTTTGGCTCCAGCTCTCTGCTGTGGCCATCTACTGGGAAAGCAGTGGAAGATGCCCAAGTCCTTGGGCCCCTGCACCAGTGTGGGAGACCTGGAAGAAGCTCCTGGCTCCTGGCTTCAGATTGGCTCAGGTCTGGCTGTTGCAGCCATATGAGTGAACCAGCGGATGGAAGACCTCTCTGTCTGCCCCCCCCCCCCCGCCTCTCTCTCAGCGTGTGTGTGTTTGTCTCTACCTCTCTCTGTAACTCTTTACAAAAAAAAAAAAAAAAAAAAGGCAACAGGTTGTCCTGAGACCTGAATCAGACACAGATTTGTGCCAGTGCTTGGCGCACAGAGAAGTCTCATCACGGCCACCTCTGTGCCCGTTCCATCCCTTAGCCATGGAGCCGCAAGCACCGTGGGCAAAGTCACCACTGTCGTTCGCATGGCCAGTCAGACACACCCTGTTGAGGAGCGCGTCTTTGGTGCTGGCCGTTGTCTTAAAATTCGTGTTACCCAGCTCAGTTTAGGGCTGCTCTCCGTGTCTTCAGTGTAGGCGGGAAACCCCTTAGTCCTAATTGTAAGAAACCGGGGCCGTGCGATTGACACTCGGCGAAGACGCGGCTGCAGTCTTGTGGCTTTCGCTGCCACAGTAGCCGGTGGCTGACTCACTCAGCGCCCCAGGGCCAGGCCGCGACGGGCAGCGGCATCCTGCTGTGTGCACACTCCTGCCTTGTGGCCACCCCCACCCCCAGGGACGCGCCTTGCCCGCTGGAGTGGCCGCGGGAGCCGCGTGCTTCCCCCCAGCCGCCACGGCGCCTCGCTCGCTCGGGGCTGCGCAGTTCTCGCCACAATCCCGATCGCCGTGAACGCTCAGCCGTGCCGGGGAGAAGTCGGCTCCGCTCGCTCGCTCGCTCGCTCCTGGTTCCGGGCGCGGCCCTGCTGGCGACGGCGTCCCTCCCTCGTTACTGTCTTCCCCGCCGCTTTGCATTTTTAATATGCTCCCGCCAAATGCATTCCTTTTCATGGCACAGCCGCTGCCTCCTCATTTCCCGGCCCCTGTTTGATATTTACTTTTCCTGGGACGCACGCTCACACACACAGAAACCCTTTTATATCTGTTTTTTTTCCGGTGACCTTTCTTCTCCCCCACAGCAGGCAGCACCGCGGCGTGTTTCTTCCCGTTCTGCCTTCTATTTAAAATTTAACGTGCGTCTCTGTGCCCCTCCCCCTCAGTCTGCTGCGGGCAACTGCTGAAAGAGGCTGTGGCGGACAAGTCCAAGCACGGCGAGGTCATCCGGCCCTTTTTTGAAAAGCACATGGCAGGTAGGCCGCGCCCCCCGCCAGCAGCCGCAGCTGCCCGGGCCCTGGGGAGAGCCCTGGGCCCCCGGGGTGGGGAGGGGGGCCCTGGGGAGAGCCCTGGGCCCCCGGGGCGGGGAGGGGGGCTCCCAACGGCAGTGGGGAAGCAATCTGGGGGGGGGCTCCTGGGGCTCTGCCATGAGCCAGGGCTCTGAGCCTGCTCCTTGGGGGGGGGGGGGATGGGTTCTGAACCTGCTCCTGGCAGGGGGCGGGGGGATGGGCTCTGAGCCTGCTCCTTGGGGGGGTGGGCTCTGAGCTGTTCCTGGGGGTGGAGGAATGGGTTCTGAGCCTGCTCCTTGGGGGGATGGAAGGGGGTGGGCTCTGAGCCTGCTCCTTGGGGGATAGGGGGTGGGCTCTGGGCACCCAGGCCTGACACCCCATGAGGGTGGCATAGGGGTGTACTGGGGGTGTCCCTGGAGTGTTCCGATGTGCCTGCTTGTCACCACTGGTGACCTTGTGCGCCAGGAGAGGGTAGGCAGCAATCCTGGGGCACACGTTCCCCATTAATTGGCAGGCAGAAGCCGGAAGGTTCCCCGGGCATTACAGCCGCAGGGACCGACTGGCCGCCTGTCCTCGGGGGTTGCGGGGTGGGGGAACCGGGCCCAGACAGCCTTGCGGTCCCCTCCGTGATCTCTGACGTGAGAGCATTCCCAGGTCTGGCCCCCGCCAGGGGCACCTTTGCCATCGTCCTGGTCGGGCTTCCCAGGAGCCACAGCGCAGGGAGTGAGCCGCTGAGCGTGCACAGCTGGTCTGGGGCTGGGCGCCTGGTCCTTCCTTCCGCCGACCAGCGCGTCTTCTGCCCGCCCATGCCTTCTCTGGTGACGAGTGTGGCGGCTCCTCTGTGCAGGTGTCAGTACGAGTCCCCCTCGTCAAGTCTGACTGGAACACGACCTGCGCTCCACGTGGCCGGACGCTGGCCGCCGTCTCCTCCCGGTTTCCTGGGCAGGGTCGGCCAGTGAGGAAGTGCAGGGAGCAAGCTGCCGGTGCCAACCATCGGCCTCGAGGGCCCCGGGGGAGGTGCCCCGCCCGGCTCCCCGAGCCCCTCCGAGACCTCGAATTCCCAGGTGGAGCTCAAGTGAGGGCCGTGGGCCCATCCGCAGACAGTGATCCGCGCAGGGTGAGCCGAGCCAGGCGGAGGCAGGAGGGCTGGGCAGGGTGAAAGCCAGTTCCAGTCCCAGTTCCAGTCCCAGTGCTCCCCGTCTGGTTCAGATTCCGGCGCTGCCCCACCCCCCCCCCAGCCAGGTGGCCCCCGACAACCACCTCGCCGTTCTGGAAGTCCTGGCTTCTCAGTGGCCAGGTGGGCACAGGAACCCGTGCCTTGCAGGCTGACGCGCGAGGCACAGGCCCGGGAGGCTGGCAAAGGGCAGTACTGCTGCTGCGGCGCCGCAGAGGCCAGCAGCGGTGCCCGAGGCGGCCGCACGGGGCTTCCCTCCGGCGGTGCCGCGTCCCCGTCCACGGGAGAGATGGCAGTGTCCTGTGGAAGGTGTCGGGCGACTGAAAGATGTGGAAGCAGCACGGGTGTGTGTGGGTTCGTTTTGCTGGGCAGGGTGCTGAGTACCGGGTGACCATCCAGTTCTCCAGTACCACGCGCTGGTGTTCGGGCACAGATAGTGAGTGACCCAGCGGACGAGGCCCATCTCGGAAAAGAGTGGCAGGACTTGCATGATTTTCTGTATGTTTGGATTTTTTTTTCTCAAAACATAAGTCCATAAACATACACATAAACATAAGACTTACAAGAAGTCCATAAGTAGATGTTTTCCTCTCACATCCCTCAGTAATTCTATGATGCATCATCTAGCACGTGCCTGGGCTTGCCAGCATCCCAGATCGGGTGACAGCCCTGCCCACTGTGGTGCGCGGCACGTCCGAGCGTCCTCCTGCCCTCCCCCGCCGTGTCCTGCCTGTCCTGGCCACCGCCGGCTGTGCCAGCGCCCTCATGTTCTATTGCGCGTTTGTCACCCTTCGGTTCTGGAGGCCAGAGCCCTAGAAGCAAGGCGTCCCCAGAGCTGGCCGCTCCCTGGGCTCCAGCGGGGCCCGTCCACAGCTCCTGGTCGCTTCCCCAAAGCCAGCACAGAAGCGCCGTCCACTCTCTCCCCTGCTCAGCGGGGACCTTTGTGATCACGCTGGGTCAAACCCAGCGTCTCAAAGCCCTTAACCTAATCAAGTGGCAGGATCCCTCTGCTAACGGACAGGCACCAGGGACCGGGTAGGGACGTCTTTGGGGAAGGGGAGAAGGAGCACACTCTGCACACCCCAGCCAGCCACTGGCCAGTTTCTCAGGTGACAAAATGTGCCTCCGTTTCCCACTGTCGTCTTCTGATTCCCGGTGAGGGCAGTGGGACTGAACCTGTTCGCCTGAGACGGCGGGGTCCCGTGGCTTCTCTCTTGGGGGCGCCTGCCCGGTGCACTCATTTTTCAAGCTGTGTTTGTCTGGATGGGTTTGTGAGTGTCCTTGCGGGGCGGGGCTGTCCAGCATTTCCCCACTGGTTTTTCTTTCTTCCTTTTTGTTAAATTTTTTTTCTATTTATTTATTTGACAAGTAGAATTATAGACAGTGAGAGAGAGAGAGAGAGAAAGGTCTTCCCTCCATTCGTTCACCCCCCAAATGGCCGCTACAGCTGGAGCACCGCACCGATCCGAAGGCAGGAGCCAGGTGCTTCTCCTGGTCTCCCATGGGGTGCAGGGCCCAAGCACTTGGGCCATCCTCCACTGCACTCCCTGGCCACAGCAGAGAGCTGGCCTGGAAGAGGGGCAACCGGGACAGAATCCAGCGCCCTTATGGGATGCTGGCTCCGCAGGTGGAGGATTAACCTAGTGAGCCCCGGCACTGGCCCCCTCACTGGTTTTTCTTTATGCCCATATCCCACGTTCGAAGCCGTGTGACACGCACGTTGTTATGGCCATCGTCATCGGAATGTCGCAGCTCCCCCCGCCCCGGGGTGGGGGGCGGGCGGTCACCCGGCGCTGCTGACTCGTGTGAGGCTGAGGCCGGCACATGGTTCCCCAGCAGTCGTGCCCACCTTTGTCACACCAGGGGTTGGGCTGTTGGGCTCACAGGTCCTAGGTTGGCCTTCAGGGATGGCCGCCACTTTGGGCTGCCCCAGCCTTGTCTCTGGGAAGCGTGGAGCCTGCTGTTGAGCCCTCTGGTCCTTCTCTGGAGACCGGACGGCCGAGCAAGTTAGCCTTGTCCCTGGCTGGCTGAAGTCCCCCCTCCGCCCCCCGACCGCCCACAGACCGGAGGTGGCCCTGGGCAGCCTTGCGTTGGTTTGGTGGTGACGACCAGGGAGGCCGGCGTGCACGTTTCCCGATCTGCCGTCACGTGAGCGAGACCCGGCGCTCCCAGCTCCAGCGTTTTGTGCTCCTCTGCCTCCTGGTACCGCTCTTTGTTTGTTTAGCCCGTGTAGCTCTCTATTTCTGCTCTTCCTACAAAATTAAAGACGCAACAACAACCAATACCGTACCTTCCGAACAGAAGCAATAAATCCTGTCATTTCGCTAATCCTGATCTCCCAGGGATAACAAAGGATGCGTTTACACTCATCACCACCAACAGGGGCTCATTAGTGGGCTGTGGAGAGAGAACCCCAGTGCTGGGCCTGCGGAGGGGCAAGCACCCAGGCCTGGCGGGGGCCCACTTGGTGTTTCCACACCCCTCCGTGAGGTCAGCCCGAGCCGGCTCTGCAGGACTGCCCTTGGCAGCCCGCGGAGGGCCCCCTGCTTCCTGTACCGCGTGGCCATGCCCACTGGCGTGCCACTCTTGGGATTTGGGGGTGGTGATTAACCACATGGCTTCTTGGCGCCCCGAGTTCTGAACCCGTTAGGAGACAGGGCCAGAGTTCGCTGGGAGCATTGGGTGGCGAACGTGGCTGGGATCTGAGGTCACGGTTGGGCTTCCCAACATGCCCCTCGAGGCCAGTCCTAGGGACAGGCCATTCACTAGATGACCGTCCCCTGATGCTGGGGACAGGGAGAGAGCCCTGATGGGGCAGAGGCAGAAGTAGAAGGAATCCCCTTCCCACCGTGGCAAGGGTCGGGGGACGGAGACCAAGAACCGGAGGGTGCGCTTGGTCTGCAGGGTGGCCCCTCTCGGGCAGCGGGAGGCCCAGGAGCAGAGGGCACGGTGGGGTCCTCCTTCCCACAGGCCCTGGAGTTGGAGCCCCTTCCTCAGCGCTCACAGACCCTGGCCCCTCCCCTGGCACCTTCAGAGCTTCCCTGCTCAGGAGCCCGGTGTCCAGCAGACGTCCCTGGGGGTGCGGCGAGCAGCCAGCCGCTGCCCTGGCTGCAGGGCGTCCTCGCCCTCGAAACCCAAAGGCCATCGAGCCCTGGGAGCTCAGCCAACCGGCCGGAGAGTCTTCTGAGGACACGGGACCCTCCCCGGCACGGGTCAGAGGCCCGGCGTCACTCCCGCCACCTAACCAGTGGAGGATACCGTCCTCGCCACGCTGCTAGCCGTGGGGACCTGCTCTGGGCCGCAGGCCTTGTGTGCTCTGTCACCAGGGCCCGCCGTTGTAGGCTGCGCCCTTCCTCCACTCACCTTGGAGCCGCCGGCCTCGGAGGCACTGCTGAGCGTCTGTGCCACCATCAGGGTCCCCGTCACCACCGCCTCCTGCTCCGCGGGTAGACCCAGATGTCGTCTGTCCCCCGTGGAGCCCCTTCCCGCAGTCCCCGGCCTGACGACGCTATGTCCCAGCCGTGACCTCTGCAGGCGTCAGAGGTGCTGCCAACACCTCCTGCTGCTGACCGGTGGCAGAATTAACAGCGGTGCCCTTCTCCCGTCTCTCCCCGTCTTCTGCACAGAGACCCCAGGGCCCCAGCCTGACTGTCCCCCGCCCCGTCTCTTGCCCCAAGGCTGGTGATGGACAGAGGGTGGGGCAGCCGCGCCACCTGCGCCCTGCACTGTGAATCCCCACCTGGCGTCTGCTCCAGGCCTGGGCCCGCCCCAGGCTGTGGAGACACACCGGGTC